AGGGTGTAGCAGGCATGCAGGGGTTTGTAGCAGGCATGCAGGGAGTGTAGCAGGCATGAGGGAGTGTGGCACGGGGCCCGGTGGCTAAGCTCCGCTTCACAACGGAGGCCGGTTCGATTCCCGGCGGTGGGAACATTCGACACGTTTCCTTACACCTGTTGTCCTGTTCACCTAGCAGCAAATAGGTACCTGGGTGTTAGTCGACTGGTGTGGGTCGCATCCTGGGGGACAAGATAAAGGACCCCAATGGAAATAAGTTAGACAGTCCTCGATGACGCACTTACTTTCTTGGGTTATCCTGGGTGGCTAACCCTCCGGGGTTAAAAATCCGAACGAAATCTTATCTTATCTCTTATCTTAGCAGGCATGCAGGGAGTGTAGCAGGCATGCAGGGAGTATAGCAGGCATGCAGGGAGTATCAGGGAGTGTAGCAGGCATGCAGGGAGTGTAACAGGCATGCAGGGAGTGTAGCAGGCAGGGAGGGAAGTAACCCCAGAGAGGGCTGTGATACCTGAAGTCCTTATGGAGGAGGATATCCTTTCCAAACAATAATCACTCCTCCCTCTCTCCTCCTCCCTGTCTTATATAAGCCAACAAGAGTCTTCAATAAAGATATGTAATAGTGATTTAAATGTTCATTTATTTATTTTATTTATTTCTCATTTTTTGTGTATGTAAAACTATAATTAATCTTTAAAAAATGTATTTTTTATTATGTACCTTTGTAATCTTTTGACTACCGCCCACAGGATGGGTATGGGGTGCATAATAAAGATATTAAACTAACTTAATATTTTTGGGTGTTTGGAACAGATTAATTGTATTTACATTAATTCTTATGGGGAATATTATTTCGGTTTTAGACCATTTCAGTTTTAGGTCGACCTTCTACGACTTCAAGGGTGATGGACTGATTACATCGTCTTCTCATCTCTACTGCTCCTGCCTACTTTCTGTACTCGACTGAAGAAGCCTACTGTGTAGGCGAAACGTTTTGGAATAAAGTTGCCTATGTGTCTTATCTACCAGTCTGGAGGTCCTCCAGCTGGCGGAGGCTCCTGGGCCGCAGTCCCTAAATCCCATATCTTAATCTGGCCATGTTTTCAGTAAAAAATGGGCTGGTCTGTCTTCAATAATAGAGTTCAAATCCAGCCCCAGTCCACCCTGTCCCCCCCCTTATCTCTCTCTCTCTCTCTCTCAGCAGCTGAGACTGTATCAGTATTCTCTTATATAATACTTTTTTAGGATCTCGATTATCAGATTTCTTTATTTTTTGGAAGTTTAGTGCCAGACAGTTTGAGTTTTGAATAACATAATCAGCTTCATAAAGTTTTCTGGTGAGAGTGTTGGGTGATGAAGTAGCTGCTTCAACCCACCAGGACCACATTTGCCCTTCCCACACTTCTTAAAAGCTTAATGACAAGCAGAATATAAATTATTATATAATTATAATCATGTGGGAGCTTGTTGGCATCACAATTTAAATAATCCTTGAACTGCAACATACCATCCTTCCTTCAGAGTGCAAGTACTGCTCTTCCCACCTCCAGGACACTTAAGTCCAGTTAACTAGTTTCCCCGAATCCCTTCATAAATGTTACTATGCTCACACTAACAGCATGTCATGTAAAAAAAAAAAAATGCCTCCACTCCTAACATGCTCATACGAGCCTGTTGAATGTCCAGGGCCTTTAAGATAAGATTTCATTCGGATTTTTAACCCCGGAGGATTAGCCACCCAGGATAACCCAAGAAAGTCAGTGCGTCATCGAGGACTGTCTAACTTATTTCCATTGGGGTCCTTAATCTTGTCCCCCAGGACGCGACCCACACCAGTCGACTAACACCCAGGTACCTATTTGCTGCTAGGTGAACAGGACAACAGGTGTAAGGAAACGTGTCGAATGTTTCCACCCGCCGGGAATCGAACCCGGGCCCTCCGTGTGTGAAGCGGGAGCTTTAGCCACCAGGCCACCGGGCCACTAGCACTCAAAATCTCTCTTACCCCCCCCTTTCCTAGGCTGAACCCAACCCTTTTACCCCAGATTGATACACCTTACTAGTCATCCTATTTGGTTCCATGCTCTAAATGTCCAAACCACATCAACAACCTTCTGCATTTGGTGCCAAGCTCTGAATTCTCTGCATAATAGATCAATTTTACCTCATACAATAGTAAATATAATTTGGGTGGCAAATTTGGGTGTTTAGAATGTAACCCTATTTTTCCTACATGTTTTTCAGGTAATGGATCTTGGCTAAATTGATACTGCACCTCCAGAACACAACAATCAAGTGACCACAGCTGTTTCCTGGCATGCCTCTGCAACTGTAACTACCCACACACTCTACACCTGATTATATACGGTATGTATTTTCCCAGTTTACTATACATGCACTAGTTTTTCTCAGTCTATTGCACTGACAAAAGTCATAGTGAGTGAAAAGTTTCCTTAATAAAAATTTATTGGTACTGCAAACACTTTCAAAATGCTCAAAGTAATTATGCATAATACATACTATATAATATTCACATAGACAATCTTTGTATGACCATGAAGAAGGCAAGATATTTTACTTTGTCTTAGCTAACATATGAAAGTAGGAGAAACAAAAGTGTAACATATGCATGTCATCTTGACAAACATTACTCATAAAGCAAACATACGAGTAGTAACTTGCTTTTCAATAAATTTATGTAATAGCATTTGCACCATTTTTGTTTTGTTGTTGTTAACATTATCCTTGGTGAGAAAGTTACATTAGAAATTGTGCATTCTCTGGAATGCAGTACTGTACCAAAATTTTAAAGTATATTTTTAAGCTAAGTGTTTATGTTAAATGTATCACCATACTTACTTTACTGGCTTATTGTACTCACCCATTTTACTCAGGACCTCTAACATCAGCGCTCCCTTTGTCATGCAGGTATGAGTAACCCATGTGGCTTTACTTTTTTATAAATATAATATTAACACAGGGCAGGGTGACCCAAAAAGAATTAAGCTCTTAACCTTATATAACTATTTTACTTAAAATTATAGAATAGCAATTTTTTTTTTTTTTTAACAAGTCGGCCGTCTCCCACCGAGGCACGGTGACCCAAAAAGAAAGAAAATCCCCAAAAAGAAAATACTTTCATCATCATTCAACACTCACCTCACTCACACATAATCACTGTTTTTGCAGAGGTGCTCAGAACACAACATATCCCTCCAAACTGCCAATATCCCAAAACCCCTCCTTTAGAGTGCAGGCATTGTACTTCCCATTTCCAGGACTCAAGTCCGGCTATATAAAAATAACCGGTTTCCCTGAATCCCTTCACTAAATATTACCCTGCTCACACTCCAACAGATCGTCTGGCCCCAAATACCATTCGTCTCCATTCACTCCTATCGAACACGCTCGCGCACGCCTGCTGGAAGTCCAAGCCCCTCGCCCACTAAACCTCCCTTACCCCGCCTTCCTTCCCCTACAGATTTAAATGCTCTCCATGTTCAATTCAATTCAATTCAAAGTTTATTCTCTATAAGGATTACAATGCTGAGTTTACAGAATTTGGTTATTGTGTGGTTTACATGTAGTAAAATAATGATTACAGAGTGTACCACTAGAACACCTAGCATGGCTAGGCATTTCGGGCAGACTTAGTTTAATTCTTAATTTTAAAATATTACAAATTATGAGGTAATTTGGTATTATGGCTAAGTGACTAAATACTAGTTTGTGAGTTTAGCAATGTGAATGCTTTTGTTTTGGCACAGTACATAGTTTCAGTATTGGAGTATCACAGGATTCATTATTTTAAGATTGAGATTAATATTTCTGTTTATGGTCAAATGGGTGAGTGAGTGTAAGTGTGAACCACCAGGTGGTATTCATGTAGTTAGTTGACGGGGTGTATCAGGGAGATAAGATGTTTTCTAATGGTAGTTTTGAAGGTGATGAATGTGTCATAGAGATGTTTGTGTCTGGTGTTATGCCTGTGGGTTCTGTCACAACTATCAAGAAAGCGTTTTAGGTCAAGGTTGATATTGGAGTTTAAGGTCCTGTAGATGTAGAATGCACAGTAGTAAGTGTGGATGTACTGAACAGGGAGTAAGTTTAGATCTATGAAGAGGGGGGGGGGGGGGGTTGCAAGGGATGGGATTTAGTGATTATTCTTACTGCGGCTTTTTGTTGGGTTATTATTGGCTTTAGGTGTGTTGCTGCAGTTGATCCCCAAACCACCTCAACAACCCCTCTTCAGCCCTCTGACTAATACTTTTATTAACTCCATACCTTCTCCTAATTTCCACACTCCGAATTTTCTGCATAATATTTACACCACACATTGCCCTTAGACAGGACATCTCCACTGCCTTTTCCCGCTGCGCATTCACAACCCAAGCTTCACGCCCATAAAAGAGTGTTGGTCTATACATTTCATACTTCCCCTTTTTTGACTCCTAGATAACGTTTTTGTCTCCACATATATTTAGCCCCACTCCCCTTTTTCCTTCATAAATTCTATGATTACCCTCACCTTCATATATCCACCGCCAACACTAACTCCCAAGTACTGAAAACATTAACTTCTTCCTTACCCCTCCCCCCAATTTTTGATACCCAAATTTTTCTTTATAAAAATCATTTGTACCCTCACACTTACTCTTTCTTGTTCACTTTAACTTTTACCTTTACCATTCCCCAAATTGCCCACTAACCTTTGCTTTTTTTCTTTAGAACCCCCATAAGCACAGTATCACAGAAAAAAAGGATTTTTTTATTATTATTATTATTATAAAAAAAAGCCCCTAAACCACAAGGGCTAACAGCGCTGCAGGGCAGGAAGAAAAGCGGGGGATCAGGTGGCAAAAGGGGAGAGGGTGAGTAATAGGTTTACGGAGAACAGCGGGGCAGAGATGGTGAAAGGGTAGAGGGCGCAAGAGATTGAGGTAAAAAGGGGCTGAGGGGAGGCGAAGTATCATCATCAATTTTGGGGGGGAAAATCAGTCTTGTCAAGAAGTCAATGAGGGTCAGGACTAAAGGAGGGTCCCAGAATAAGGGAGGTAAAGAAAAGTAGGAGAACCCGAGACGACGTTGGAGAAAATTTCTGGTGCTCTTTGATAGAGGGGCAGTCTAACAGAAGGGGTTTTCATGAACTGGAAGACCTTCCCCCAAAGAGGGGAAAACGGGGTCCTTTTTCCATGAGATACCATCCGAACCCCCTAGCATTTACTTCTTTTACAACCCCTCATAAATACATATTTTAAAAACAACCATGGTGACATTAGACATCCTTGTTAAACCTACTTTTACCGGGGAAGTATTCCCTCTCTTTACACACCCAAACCTGAGCCTCACTTCCTCATAAAAACCTTTACAGCATTTAGTAATTTACCACCTATTCCATTACAGGGGCCCCCGGTTAACTTTTTTTTTCCTCCAAAGTATGTTCAGGTGCCAGTACTGACCGAATTTGTTCCCATAAAAATATTGTGAAGTAGATTAGCCCATTTCAGCCCCCCAAAACAACAGTACAAATGCACTTAATAATACATTGATAATTGGTCACATTCGGAGGTAATTTTATGCGGGGCCCACTGTATTTGGCAACATCTGCCACATTGCTCCCCTTCCACTCATCATTGCCTTTTTTGAATCCATAATGCAAAAAAAAATTCCCTACCTTTATCTAAATACTTTTTCAATATATGTTTCAATGAAAACCCTTGATTCCCAATTTCCCTCCCAAAACTCTAAAACCCCCCTGCTCATTCACAACCTACATTTGTCTTCCTCTAATTTTTTCAATTATAACTCTACCGTACACTTTTCCTGGTTACTGGGAAAACTTTTTCCCTCTATAATTTTTACAATCTCTTTTGTTCCCCTTGTCTTTATATAAAAGGGGCTATCATGCTCCCCCAACCCTGGGTACCTTCTCTCTTTCATACATTTTTAAAAAAAAATTGCCAACCACTCCACATATACAAAGCTGGGCTTGTTTCTGCAGTGTTTTAAAAATTGGGGTTGGAGAGTTAAAGGAGGAGGTTTGCTTCTCCGGGGAGGAGTTAGGAGGCTAAAGGGTCCCCTCAATGGGTCGGGGGGAGAGAGTGTGGGGTGGTGGAGTTGGGGGGAATGAGGTTCTAGCAGGGGGCATCTGCCCTCTCGCTTGGGGGAGGTTTGTGTGGGGGGGCAGCAACGGCTACCAGCATGAGGGCAGCCCAGCACCTGCTACAAGTGGCGATAGTTCACAGTAATGGAAGGCGCTCAGAGTAAGGAAAGTTAAGAGTGAAGATCTAAAGGGTAGGAAAAATCGCTTTCTGTTCTTCGGATGAAGTATTCAGGGGCCAGTGAAGGAAAGGGGTACTATCCCCCTGCTAATGGAGGTAAGCGCATTTTGGGGTTGGTGACTTCAGGTAAGATACATTGACCGTGCTTTTTGTAATAGGAATAAGAAATGAGAGATAGGGTGCTTCCTGGAGCGGTGTTGGGGAATTTTGTCAACAGGCTGGATAATATCTTGTAGGAAATGGGAGCAACCCATTACTGTCTCAGGTGGTGGAAATGTATTGGGAAGGGAGGAGAGAAGAGCTGTGATAAGTAAGGTGTATAGATTTTTAAAGTCTAAGGGAGGATCCCAATCATATGTAGCTCTTGCCTAGAAGGGGAGTAGGAAAGAAGGGTTGTCTGGGGAAATTTGGTGTAAATTGCTGGCTAACGATATGCAAGGAAATCAATCCATTCTTTGGACAATGGAAAATTTTTTATGGAAAAACATTTGTATGAAAGGGATGGGGTAATCTCCTGGGGCTGGGGTGGTAGCACTTGCAGACTCGATTGAGAAGGCCATTGGTGAAATCCCTATGATTTTAAACGATGGAAGATAGGGTATGGGTGTGTGTGGGAAACAAAAGGGTTCAACATTGGGTTGGAAAAATAAAAGTTTTAAAAGGGTTCAGCATGAAGTTATAAATAAAGCAATGTAGGTCAGCAAACAAAAGGGGGGCAGCAGAGGGCCAAGGGGGGTAGCTCCCCTTTAAAGGGTTTTCTATACTAAAAGAGGAGTGTAAGAAATAAGTAGATGAGCTAAGATTAATTGCAAATGAGGAGACATAGATATTATTGTTAACAGGGGCCTGGTAAAACTGAAAGATAGGAGTTGCCCTCTGAAAGTCACTACAAGGCATAATTATTCCACATGACAGGGGAACAGGAAAGGGGGGTGGAGAGCGATGATGTAGAGCAATTTAAAATTTTTTTGTGTTTGACAAATATTAAAATTTGAGCGTCAGCCCCTGAAACGTTTGGTTCAGCTTCTCGAGGGCCGGAAAAAAAATAATTTTGGGGTGTGAAATTTTTAGGGCCCCAAATCTGAT